TTTGTCATAACCGCTCGTACAGTTTGGCACACTACTCTTTCTTCCCATTCTTTACTCTACACGTACACAATGCTACAACTAAATATACGGCCTTTCTGCGTTAATAATTATTACAAACATTTTACGCGCGCTTCTTGCCGAATCTTTTACGGTGACAAGTGGAATTTGCAATCGTTGAACGGCTTGAGTCACCCTTCCTCGTCTTACGATTCTGTCTCTGTCGCGTTAGCAGTTAGGCGACACACAGTCCACGCTCCAGAGCGGTGCGTTCTGTCACCTACATGTCGTTTTATTTTTTGTATTGGATATTTTAAAAATGTTCGGGAATAAAGTTTTTTAAAAATTTGGATTGGTTGTTTTTTTGGAGGCTTAGTATAGTGTACCACCAGCAATATTTAAATTTGTGATTTATTGGGTCCCTTGGTGAATAATAAAATATAAAAACTTTCAGAACTCTAAAAATATTTATTATCTATTATTATTTATAAAAAAATTATCTAAAATATCGCCAAATTAATTGCCTTTATTCTCTCTCATCAGCATTGGGGTCGTAGTTAGGGGGACATTTATATTTTGTCTTGGATTAGGTACGGGCAAGTCAAAATCTTCAGTCAGTCTTGCATTTACACAAATATGCAAAACTGCACAGGCACTTACTATCTGGCCAACTACTTGTGGATCATATCTTAATTTACGTTCCCCTAGAGGACATCTAAATCGTCCTTTAAGAACTCCAATACAGCGTTCAACGCAATTTCGTGCTTGAATGTGTGCTGAAGTATATCGAAATTCTGGTGTACCTGGAATAGCATCCACAATAGGCGTCATTAAATAGGCCTTTTGAAAGTAACCTGAATCTCCAAGCAGCCATGTATTTCTATCACCTAAAAATATAAAATTATGTATTTCTTAAAATTCTACGTTTGCAGATTATAGAACTGTGTACTCATTTTCTTTATTTGTATATTTTTCGTAGCTTAATAAGTAAACTATGCGAGTAAAAACCAAATAAATATTCTTACCACCATTGTTGTATCTCCGTTCTAGTTCTACAGACACTGCAGATTGTCTAAATATATATGAGTAGCTCCTGCATACCTTGCATTTACATTTAGAATTTCTAAATTATAATTACATATCTAAAAAAAGATTATGATTATTAATAATTCTAGAATACCGTTATTAAAATATATTCAAGAAATTTCATTAGTAAAATAACTTACAAATTGCACATTTTTTGAATGAAAGCCTTTCCTATTAAAATAATTATGTTCTTGTTCTGCTGGAGCAATTATTACAATGTGTGTGCAATCTACTGTGCCCAACACACCAGGAAATTGAGTTCTTTCCATAAATTGCTTTTGTTCTATTAATAAGTTCTTGTTCTGAAGGAAACTTTAGCCATTGTTGAGGCAAATGATTTACTCTCAGTGTTGTCACCAACTTAATGCACCTAGTCACAGTTGTTGACATGTAGAAAATTTTAAATCCTCTCCAATACTTCTTTGGTATGCTATCCCTGAAAAAAAATATAAAGCTATCAAAAACCCGATGTTCAGGTTCAATGGCTAAGTCTTTTTCAACTTGCATATGAGGAATTAATATTGGAGAAATAATATGCTGGACCATTTCCTTCGTTAGTCTAAATAATTATCCGGCAAGGTAAATGGGACACTTTCATTTCTTTTTATTCTTCTATATATGTGCATGTCCCGAATCCTCTCATTTCTGTCTTCTTCTTTGATAATTATGGTGTTAAAAATATGTATGGGTAACATCTTTGAAAAAACTCGTTAATATTAAATAAATTAATTATTCCACAAAAATTCTATTGTTTTAGCCAGTAAATCTAAGGTATGTGCGACACATGGCAAATGTCTATTTTTTGCAAAAATATCATTGGATGTTTTAACAATGTTCAACTGAAACATTTCAGGCTGACATAATATTTCTAAGATATTTTTCCAAATATTTAGCAGTATGATTTTGATCTAATTCAGTCACAGCAATAGTTACTCCATGCAGTTTTTTATTTTCTTCGAAGTAGCGAGTCCTAAAAATCATAGTTTCTGTCCATATATCTGTAGTTAAAGTCATATTTGAAATTGTGTACCACCGTTCTTTTACCAATAAAGAAAGGACATTATATTTTTGTTCTGTTAATGTTGCAATCGTTTTTTTTTTTGGTAGGGGAACTACGGTTTTTAACAAAAACTGGAAACCTTCTTTCTCAGTTGTATTCAAAGGTAAATCATTTTTAGCTCTCATAGATTATTGCATTAGTAATTTGATCCGCTTTTTTTCCTGAAGCTAAAAATAAATCAAAACTGTAAACAATTATAACAGTAAAATAAGACAACTAACTTTTAAATGATTCAATTTGTAACAGCGAATTATCGATACGAGGTTGAAAGTTGGATTGTGGTATATATTTTGATGTGGATGGTACAGATTCAATACAGGTAAAGCTTTGTTAATCTATTTTTACTTTTATCTCATTTTGTGGAGTAGATTCCGATTTTGTTAAAATAGTCGGATGTCGTCTTTCTAAATGTCTTTTTAAATTTGTTGTATTACCCAAACCACAGTTTATAGCTAAAGAATCAGTTCGCTTACTCTGCTTCGGCACTTTTGATCTCAATGTTCCAGTGTATACATTGTGCAACTCGGATTTGTATTCCTGGCGCATACAGAATCAAATCATAATAGCCCAAGAGCCCACTGCAAATTTTTACCGTCATCTGATAAAATGAAATTTACCCCAAAAGCATGTAAAAACATTGTACTTTACCAAAGGGCACCTATCCCAATCCTTAGCAAAATGGTCAAAAAATATAATTTTATATTAAAAAAATCACATAAGGCATAAAAGCAATGATTTTTTTTACCTTAAAGTTTTCCAGAAAATAATATATTTAAAAATATCTTGATATATATGGAAACATTTTCTTCCTCTTAACATCGCACAAAAACATCTATCCACGATTAGTAGGTAAAAATTATTAAAAATGTGAATAAATTTTTGCTGATTTAAAAATTTATTTGTATGCCTATTGTTGTGATTAATTTTTACAGGTTGCCGTAGAAACTTTCACACATACATATGGTTTAAAAGGTTGGTAAAAATATTAATAATTCAGGTTTAAAAGCTAGGTTCACAATGAATTAGGATTGCAATTTTCAGGGAAAACACAATTGTCGCTGTCATGTCTTATGTGATTTTTGATTATAAGATTTTTTTAACCACTTTGCTCAAGATAGGGATTGGAACAGGTGCAATTTGGTAAAGTACAATGTTGTTACATGCCTTTGGTTGGAGAATATTTCATTTTGTTATCAGATGACGGTCGGAATGTGCAGGGGACTCTCCTACTATAACCAATACAATATGGCAGCCGCCTATATTCAAACAGCATTCTTCTGCGCATCCTGAATTTGTTTCGTAAATACCGGCGCAACCTACCACTATTGAGAAAGGCAACTAATTTACAATAGATAGGTATTACAGATTTCTTCTAATTCAAGTGATAATTATTTGAACTCTAAGGGCCGATTCCACCGTTGTGTTAAACGAAGTTTAAATTACTAAACGAAGATTAAAATAATATTTTTACATTAATAATGTCATTTTAATCTTCTTTTAGTAATTTAAACTTCGTTTAATACAATGGTGGAATCGGCCCTAAGACAATTTCGATATATACCAAAATTAATTTGCACGGAGCAGTAAGCTGGGTTTAATGTATTAAAAGCGAAACTTTATTTAAGTCGCCGAGAATGCCGGCTTTATTTGCTAAGCGGTGTCTACCTAAGAAATGATCCGTTTCAGACATATAGTGAATTAACGTTTTTTAAAAGATTTAGACTCTATAAAGAAACAACTCAATATGTTCTTGAATTAATTCAGCAGGAATTGACCTATCCAAATAACGATATGTAAGTACCAACGTTAATTATGATAACAAGCTTCTGTGCAATGGTGTAATACTATTTATTTTAGAAATAATGCAGTTTATCCAATGAATCAATTGTTAGTAGCTCTGCGTTTATTCGCTACAGGAGGCCACCTTAGTAGTGTTGCCGAATTTATGAGAATGGATATATCCACAGTGTCTCGCATTTTAGTTAGAGTATCCGAGGCTATTGCAAGATTGGCCCCACAATTTATCAAATTACCAAATCAAAATGAATTAATTAAAGACCAGACAAACTTTTATGCCATTGGAAGGTTTTCAGTAATTGGGGTAGTGGATGGTACACATATACCAATACAATCACCAATATATTTTCTTGTTTGCTATCTTCATGGTTAACAATTTTCAGTACTGATTTGCATAAAATTTTAATTTTTCATAGTTATTGTGCATACCTACTGGATTATTGCTAATAATTTAATTGCAGGAGATAGTGGATATCCGTTAGAAATTATTTTTTTACTCTGTTAAATCCCAATGAGCGAGCTCAAGAACTGTATAATGAATCATTAATAAGCACCAGAAATTCTGTAGAAAGGGCAATTGGACTATGGAAAAGAAGGTTTCCAATTATGGCTTATGGTGCCCGTTTAAAATTAAGGACAGTTAAGACTATCATAATTGCTGCCGCAGTTCTACATAACATAGCAATTGATATGAATGAGCCTGAACCACCACTACCAGAAGAAATCAATGCTAATGAGCTAAATTATCTGATTGAAACTGGTCAAATTCCTAATATTCCTCAAAATTATAACATTCCCCATAATGTACATGATAATAACTCATTTTGGAAATAGATAAATCAAAAATGTGAAGTGATATTTAAGTTTTAGTTTATTTACACATATTTACTTAATTAATTAACTTAAATTTACAAAGCAAGCTTAACTAATCTTAACTACAATTTAAGTGTATAACATATAACAATAACACATTTTGGAAATACATAAATACCAAATGTAAATTATATTTTTACTTATTATACCTTTATTTATTAAAATAACTTAAATTTATAAAGCAAACCTAATTAATCTTAACCAATTTAAATTCAATTGTCTTTTCTTTATTGCTATTTCTAAATCTAAGTTCCATTCTCTTTAAATGTTCTGCAGTTTTCTCTTTGAACTCATTCTCTGTCTTTTCTGCAATTCTTAGCCTCCTATCAACCAAATCGTCATATTTTCAGCTAATCTTGAGCTTACAACAGTAGCTGGACGTTTTCTCCTAACAAATTGGTTTTTCCTGTTTAAATTTTTTTTTATAAAAATAGTGTTAAGGGCATATATTTTATCATAGGAAATGTAAAATTTATTACAAAAACTGATTCATAGAGGTAGATATATATATTATATCATCTGCAATATCAACATTCTTAGTATAAAAAATAAGTACTTACTTTGTTAGTAGGTGTTGGTACTGTCCGAGAAGAACTGAGAATTTGTATCTAAAAATTAAATAATATTGCGTTAGGATTACTTACAAAGTAAACATGGATATATAACGCAATAATCTGCATTCTCAATAATCATAATTACAAAAAAATCCTCACGTTATAATCGTAGTTGGCTCTGCCTGTGAAGAACTGGGAATTTTTATCTAAAAATTAAATATTTCAAATAGATTTGCTATAGGATTACTTATAAAGTAAACATAAAATATATAAAATGCCATAAATTGCAGGCTCAATATGCTAAGTGCAAAATGTAAATACTCACTTTGTTGTGATGTGGTATTGTAGGTGTTGGTAATGTTTATGAACATCTGGGAATTAGCACCTAAAAATAAATTCGAATAATTTTGCTGTAGGATTACTTAAAAGTAAACATGGATATAAAATGCAATAATCTAGTCTCAATATTCTTAGTACACAATATACTCACTTTGTTAGGATGATGTGCTATACTCGTAGGTGTTAGCGTCTGGGAAGAACTGGGAATTTGAATCTAAAAATTTAATATTTTAAATAGTCTTGCTATAAATTACTTACAAAGTAAATATAAAATGCAATAATATACAAATTTAATACTCTTAGTACAAAAAAATAAGTACTCACTTCGTTAGTATGCGTTATACTTGTGGGCGTTTGTACTGTCTGTGAAGTTTGTATTTGAACCTAAAAATAAATAAAATAAATAATTTAAATAGTTATACAAAGTAAACATAAAATAATACATATATAAGGTATACGTTTGCAAGCAAATAAAACAAGCTAGGAGTCTGTTAATAATATTAAATGAAAACATTTCTGCATGCACTGACATTTAGTTTATAGTGGATAATATGTATATAGATACTTACATGAGAAGTAGAAGGTGAATCAATTGTTACAGGATTATTTCTTGGCTATTCGTCAGAAACTTCATTCTGAAACTAATATTGAGTTTTCTGTTATATAAGCTGTCTTTTGTGTTAACGTTTGTTTGCAAGTAAAATTGTAACTTCTAAACTTACCATATTGTCATCTTTTTCGATTGTCCAATATTCATTACTTCCAAATTCATATACAAACTCCTTCTCATTTTCAGCAGGACCTTCCGGTTCTGCAATAATCTGATTATGAAAATCAAATTCATTATCTAACCCGTATACTGTTTTCACGTTCATGAGGCCCAATATTAAATCATGGTTTGAGTCTTTTTTAATATTGGATGGTGGGCTACCACCCGTTTTAATTACCTCAGTTTTTTCCAGAGCCGCCACTTTACGTACATTTTTTTTATTTTCGTAAAATTTCTTTAGCATTACGCCTGCTCTGTAGGAATGGTTTGGTGCTAAAGCATTAAACTCTTCCTGTATTTTTTCCCATGTTCTTTAACCGAAACACTGTCTGTTTTTTTATTTTCAATTGTATTTTTATATTTTGAAATGATATTTAATAGAATTGATTGTTCCGCATGAGAAAAATTTGTACTGCGTTTCCTTTTTCCTTCCATTACTATAAAAAAACAGCTCGAATAACACGGCAATACTCAAATTAGAATCAGATATAAAATAAATGGAAACATAGAAGTTAGGTTATGTTTTCGGCGTGAAGATAATTAAAAGTGATCATTGGACCTACAAGTGTCACACTAGTTCTATTGTTACCGCTTAACAAAGCCAAATTAAAAATTGACGGTTCAACTCGATAAAAATAAAGCCAAGTTTAAATATTTAGGCCGACTTAACAAAACTAGGTTTAAATGTATATCGGTGCAAACGGCTCTTAGTCATATCAAAATCGGAAAATATAAGGTTAAAGTATCGATACTTGAAAATATCGTACCGTATCGCCCTTCCCTACTGTCAATGTCAATTATCATTTTTTGTTAACAGTACGAACACTCATGTATCCTATGTTTATTTTTGTTAATTTAATTATTTATATTTTGGTTTTTGGTTTGAGCTTCTCTTAAACGATGGATGTAAAACAAGAACCTTCCGAACTACATGTTGATGAAATCCATTAAATAAAACAATAAATCGAATGTGAAGAGCCTAAACTTGAACAACGTTCGGATTTGTTAATAAAAACCCGCGAATGTTAATACGAATACTTGCAAAATACCCCTATACGTATTAAAAATGAACGTAAAATGGCTGATTCATGCGTAGGCGTCAATGATATCAAGCAAAAACCTGAATTTGTCCAGCCTGAAAGTGAGAGTGAACTTTTGGCTTCATTGACTTCGCATTGTGATTTACAGACATTGAAAGATGAAAGTACTGCTCATCCAAGCTATTTGAATCAACCGAGTAACAAACAAGCCGAAAGGAAATCTAGATCGTTAACAGATTCCCGCATACATAAGAGAAAGAGGATGTATACTTTGCCCTGTGGTTAAAAATGGTAAATGCTTTTTCATTTATTGTAGACCTTCATGTTACTCTTTACTCAGAGGTGAAAAGATCGGCCCTTAATTGGGTAATATAATGCAGTCACCAGTTGCGAATCCTGATCAGCTAAAAATTTTGGACGTACCCAGATGCAAAATTTTTACCCACAGTGCGAGTTGCAAAGATATCCTCAATATCCTGATTATATAAATTATTCTTTAGAAGTCAAATGTTATTTAAAATTGAAAAAAAAATAAAAGAATTTAAATTAAAATAAATTAAAATAAATTAAAATAAATTAAAATAAATTAAAATAAATTAAAATAAATTAAAATAAATTAAAATAAATTAAAATAAATTAAAATAAATTAAAATAAATTAAAATAAATTAAAATAAATTAAAATAAATTAAAATAAATTAAAATAAATTAAAATAAATTAAAATAAAATAAAATAAATTAAAATAAATTAAAATAAATTAAAATAAATTAAAATAAATTAAAATAAATTAAAATAAATTAAAATAAATTAAAATAAATTAAAATAAATTAAAATAAATTAAAATAAATTAAAATAAATTAAAATAAATTAAAATAAATTAAAATAAATTAAAATAAATTAAAATAAATTAAAATAAATTAAAATAAATTAAAATAAATTAAAATAAATTAAAATAAATTAAAATAAATTAAAATAAATTAAAATAAATTAAAATAAATTAAAATAAATTAAAATAAATTAAAATAAATTAAAATAAATTAAAATAAATTAAAATAAATTAAAATAAATTAAAATAAATTAAAATAAATTAAAATAAATTAAAATAAATTAAAATAAATTAAAATAAATTAAAATAAATTAAAATAAATTAAAATAAATTAAAATAAATTAAAATAAATTAAAATAAATTAAAATAAATAAATTAAAATAAATAAATTAAAATAAATAAATTAAAATAAATAAATTAAAATAAATAAATTAAAATAAATAAATTAAAATAAATAAATTAAAATAAATAAATTAAAATAAATTAAAATAAATTAAAATAAATTAAAACAAATTAAAACAAATTAAAATAAATTAAAATAAATTAAAATAAATTAAAATAAAATAAATTAAATTAGAATAAATTAAAATCAATTAAAATAAATTAAAATAAAATAAATTATCTTATTACCTTTTAGACCTGTATTGAAATGCCATTTCCTGATCTAGCGGAGTAAGTGGATTCGCCATTTTCTACACTATACCCGAATCTCTGGATCTCTTGTCATGATTCTAGTATATTTTAAAATAATGATTTAGTCCCACTGTTGGCCACCATAGAGGGTTTTTGGGGTTGACTTATTTTTTGCATAATCTTGTTAATCGAACGGGTGGGGCCATAAGAGGCCCAAATAGGGCAGAGAGGGATTTAAGAGATTAGAACATGACGCAACTGGTCTAAAGTGGCTCTCATTACGTTACCTTCTGTTTGTAATGAATTTTTATTAACTAATAAAGAATAAATATTTCTAATTCATTTACCAAGTAACTAATAAAAGGGGAAAAAATCAGATATACAAAATTAAACAATTCTTAGAGAAACATTACCCATTAGAGGGTTAAACAATAATTCACAACACTCTTGTCCTTTTTTTTATTGTAACTGATGCCAAATCTTCTATTTGTTTAGTTCCACCTTCCGTATTTTTTCTTCCTCTATTTTGTCTTGATCAGATATTTTCTTGATTTCAAACCTGAAAAAAGATAAATTTAAAAACTTATTTTATCAAAAATGTAATAACTTTTTTATTCCTTCTTTCAAAACATGCGATTAGTTATTACAAATAGTTGTTCTTCCAAAATCTTCTCACGTGTAGGTGTTAGTAAAAATTTAAGACCAGAAAAATCCTTTCAACGCTAACTTGTGTTGCAAGCACCCCTAACAAAACTTGTGCAAGTATAATGCCGGTGTGATGTCCCTTTTCTTTTCTCAAAAATCAAATATGGTTGAATTCTTTTGTAAACGCAAGCGGCCTTGCTCAAGATGATGATTTCAAAATATCAATTTTATATGACATTATTATTGAATTACTAGATGATGCTCCACTGTTGTATAGTCCCTAATTTATTTTCTGTTCAGATTCCATTTTTCTTAAAAATAGTTTTACATCATCACTGGAAATAATCAAAGGATCAGACCTATTTTCAAGATCATACTGATCGTGTTCAATGTCCTGAGGAATGTCAGTTTCTTCTAAAGTTAATAATCTGGCCCATAGCATCTTTAAAAGGCTTTTTGTCCTCTCTACTTCATATAAGCTTTAAACTACCTTGTAACGTAAAAAATTCCTGCAAGGACTACAGCATTATCTAGTAACAACTTTTCCCTTTTTTTCATATTATTTAATATTTGTCTTGCGAAGGGAGACCCTAATTTTTCAGTATATAATTTGCACTCCTGCCAATAACTGAAAAATTATCCTATGGTAAGCTGCTCATATTGCAATTTACGCGTACACTTTCGTGCTTGTTCCAAAACTGACACAATTTCTTTAATTCTCTTCCAATGTGATTTAGATAAGTTTTTGGATTTGTTAATTCCATTTCTGTGCAAGCAATCAGCTCGACAACTATCATTGAAGCCTCGAAAATTATATGAAATGTGTGAAATATATCATCCTTTAAAAATGCTAGCTCTATATCTGTGCCTAAATTTTCTTCATCATTACAATTTTCATTTTCTATAATAATTTCAATGTTTCCTGTATTTTCGCCCCATGTGTCATTATATGACTCCAATTCATTTTTTTCAATGACATCATACTCTCCATTTTCAGAGGCAATAATCTTCACTGGTTTTAGCAAATTTGAACCATTATCTGTAGTTATGGTGTATATTTGATCTTCTTCAATTTGAAAATTATTGCATATTTAAAGAATTATTCTCTTTAAATTTTCACCTATTAAAAATATGTAAACAATTTATGAGCAGCTCATTAAATTTTATTAAGTTACTTACCTGTGTGTCGACTTGTAATTTCCTTTAATGCCTTCCAAAAACAACATGGCTATTTTTCATGTACTGAATATTTATTCCTATAAATGACCGATCCAGTCTAGTGATACCATCTACTTTTACTGAAACCATACGGTTTCTTACTTCATCTATAATATTTTGTTTCAGTTGATTAGCTTCTCTAGAGACATATTTTTGGATAGCTTCAGGAGACAAGGAAAAGTGCTTGTCTCTATTTGCAAGGCCATCCTTCATTGGCTTCAAACTTTTTTGAAATCCAGAATGCGACATTAAACTGAAGGGTATTCACAGTAACTAATTCAACACATGCATCAATTAATATTTCCTTCCAGATGTTAACCTTAATGGTATTTATTTATTTATTTATTTATTTATTTATTTATTTATTTATTTATTTATTTATTTATTTATTTATTTATTTATTTATTTATTTATTTATTTATTTATTTATTTATTTATTTATTTATTTATTTATTTATTTATTTATTTATTTATTTATTTATTTATTTATTTATTTATTTATTTATTTATTTATTTATTTATTTATTTATTTATTTATTTATTTATTTATTTATTTATTTATTTATTTATTTATTTATTTATTTATTTATTTATTTATTTATTTATTTTACAGTAGGTTGATTCTTGCATGATGACCCTAGTTTAGAAAATAAATTATAATAAGTGAGGCCTATATCTTAAATAACAATAAAAAAGCAAAATAAATATCACCTACAGCCAACTTACCTCTAATGAATCTTGGCACAATTTACAAATATATTTATTATCTGTCGGCAAAAAATCAAAATGTTGATGGGCTATATTAGAAACTTTTCTCCCCATTTCCACTTAGGTTTGATATTATAAAATTAAATATGCCACTCCGCATGTGGTTTCCACCTACAACCAAAACACTAATTAGTTGTTAATTGTCAAAACCAGTATAATCAAGAATTAAGTCAAACATCTTCTTCTTCGGACTTCTTTTTTATCGTTTTTTAAAATATCTGGTCAGCTAATGTGGCTATTCACCCACAAATTAAAATTATTAATCAAAAAAAACGTAAAAATATGAACAACGAAACCGAAAAAACCGATAAAACCGTTTAAAATATTAACGGTTCGGGTTCGGCTCTAAAAATTTAATTCTGGATAAAATAAACTAAAATAAAAAAGTAATACCTTTTATTTTCAAGACTGCGTCAGATTTTCCGAAATCCCTAGATTAGTAGAAATATTTCAAAAACTCCCTTCTCCCTTTGTCAACATGAAAAATCCCTAGAAAAGTGAAAAATCCCTAGACCTGGCAACGCTGCGTCTACCTATTTTTTTCCCAAGTCAACATATCCAACAATTTTGCCATTAACTGAATCAAAAGTAAGTTTTTCGGTTAAAGCTATTTCATCGAACATTAAAATACAATTCCTATCAATTTCTGGCATTTTACTAACAATTTCTGGCATTTTACTAACAATTTCTATAAATCTGGAAAACACTATGCTCGTTTCAAAAGGTAAATCACATCAAATTTGTTGGATAGTAGATTTACTAGGTAACGATATTAATTTTCTTAAAAAATTATATGCTCTTGGACCATTTTTATACAATGCTAAAGAAAAAAAAATTCTGATGGTTTTTTCTTCGACAATTTTCTAATCTACTTTTAAAGAATTTCGTTCCAACCAGATCCAAAGTATTATTAAAATTTGAAAACAACTGAGTTTTGGATAATTCAAAGGCTGTTGATTTGATCTTATTTTTGGAAACACTAAGAGCTTTCTTTAGCTTACATATTCTAATATTTTGTTCTCTATTAATAAAATAAAGCTTTTTTTCTTTACGAGTTAAATTTTTGACTCTACTTTCATTTATTTGTTTTACGGCTTTCTCCATAATGGCAATGTGTAGAAATGCCTTCGAAAAAATTTCAACGATGTCATATAATGACATGCGAGATCCAGGGTTATTAGTGTGCCATAAATCACACTCCTTTGAATATTGGTCCAAACACATTGCAATCAAGGGGCTGTAGTAGATGACTTGTATGGGGTGGAAGAGAAACCATTATAATATTATTTTCTCTTACTTTATTTATTGCAACTAGCGTCCTATGACTGTTATGATTATCGAGAATTAATAATATTTTATTGTTCGGGTCCGGTTTCACATGGTTTATAAAGTGGTCCAAATACTTGATGAAATTATCGGAATCCATCCATCCAGAACCAGAACCATTCGCATAACCAACTGCACCTGGTGAACATCCTTTCATGAATAATGGGCTCATTCGCTGCCGAGGAAAAATAAAAAATGGTGGAATGTATGATCCTGCAGCTGAAATTCCACAAACTGCAGTGATATTAAAACCTCTTTCAGTGCTCACTACACGCCCTACTTGCTTCTTTCCTTTTTGTGCTAATATTTTTCTGAGAACAGGTACCGAATTTACCCCAGTTTCATCAATGCTGTAAATTTGGTCAGGTCGAATATTATTGGCCTCCAAAACCGATCGTACATCATAGAACTTCTGGACTTGTGGTTTATTAAATCCTGCTGCTCGTACTGTGCTAGTAGGCTTAGGAGCTCTAATAACAAGTTAAGGATTTCCTTTTTTATACCCTGACAACCAGTCACTGCCAGCTAGTTTCGTAGTTTTGTTAAATTGATGATTTAACTGCATATTTTCTACCAATTCAAATGCAAAACGACGAGCATATAATGGTATTATTCCAAAATATGCTCCTCTAAATTCCTCTCTTGTTGTTCGGTAAACACTTGCTTGAAACGATCGTTCCTAGGAGTTCTTGGCATTAATGGGTTATTTTGCGTCGCAAAATATAACTCTTAGGTATTGTATTGCAAACCGTTTAGATGCTGCTCGAACCGAAATTTCCTTCCATTTTATCATTTCCAATGCTTTTGTTATTTTCTCCCCCGTCCACGAGGGTTCTGGTCTTTTTTTACGTAGTTAAGTAGAGGATAAAAAGAGGACCAAAGGGATGCATTGCTATGGGGAGTCAAAAGGATGCGATTGTATTGCGATGGGGAGTCAAAAGGATGCGATTGTATTGCGATGGGGGATCAAAGGGATGTGATTGTATTGCGATGGGGGATCAAAAGGATGTGATTGTATTGCGATGGGGAATCAAAAGGATGCGATTTGGAATCAAAAGAATGTGATGAGGGATCAAAAAGGAGTGATGGGGGATCATAGAAAAGCGATGGAAAATCAAAAGCGATGGGGGAGGTAATGATCAAGTAAAATGACTGAATTAACTGGTTATATGAGAAGGTATTCTTAAGGCTTAAACAAGTCTGAGCAAGTTTATTCAAATAATTCAAAAACAAACAGATATGCATATTCTAGTTTAATTGTTACAATAAGTTTATTACATATATCATTAACATAATCATTTAAATCAATTTCATCACTTATTACATCAACCTCATTAAAACCACGGTATTGAGTGTTTTTATCCTCTACACATTTGTCACAATTATCATTACATTCATTAGGTTTACACAATACATCTTTTTCATGTATTTTGATTACAATGTTTAAAGATTTATTATATCGTCTCTCAACCTTTGAGTTAATCCTTATTCTTGGAATTGTATTCAATTCGTTTCTCGTATATTCCTTATAGAAATATCCCATACAATCATAAGCATCTAAGAATACCCCGTCAACTTTAATGTATGCATACAACCCCATTCTGTTTAATAAAATGAGGATAAAGAAAAACCTACTTTTAAGTGATTATTTATACCCCTACTTGAGCGTATTCAACATCCATACCTACATAACCGGTTATTCTAGCCTTGAAGAAGTTTTAGAACAACCTGTACTAATTGGTATAGTGACTTTCGGTGGGGGGGTTTTCTATTAAAGGAGAATATATTTATTATATTGATCAGTTTGTGTTAAAATGAATCGTGAAATGGTTAAAGATGTATTTCTTGGTGAAGAAAAGTTTTATTTAAATAATTCAAACAGTAAACATGTTACAGTATGTTTGTCTTATATTAATAACTTTGCACCATGTGTTGCGATATCTGGAAACAATAACGATTTAGTAATCTTTAATGAGAAAGAGTGGCAAGACTTTCTCTCTTACAAGAATGTGATAGATGATTTTTTAAAGTCAATAACTTCTAAAGATTCTATTGACAATGGTAATTTTTTTTTGGAATTTAAGCAGTTTTTCGCAGCAAATGCCATTAGAATATTTACAGGTCATTCCAGCATTTATTTAGGCTCAAGCAGTGTTGCAATGTTATGGAATACGTTACCATTAATAACACATCATTTGGATACATTAAAAGGTCAGCATTTTGCTAGCTCATTAAAAATTCTTCAACTGGGTGTTAAAAACAGTGCTGATGTAGTTAACGATGGTCTCAAGATAATGGAACCTTTAAAGAAAATAAATCCAGTAACTTATGGGATGGCTTTAAAATTAATTTATCTACATCCAGAGATACTTAAAGAAGATTTACAACTATGAAGAAAGTAACTTTTAGAGAGGATCAAAATAAAGTCCATTACTTGATTTCCTGGGAATTTGCTTACAGAGAAGCTAGAAGATGTAATATTCTAGATAGAATAAGGTTTGATTATCGTATTCAAGAAACAGCGAAAATTATTAATCCAATTTTAGATGTAAATCATAGAAATAAAATGTATGAAAAAATAAAATATTATAATTAAATAGGTTTGTATTAAGGGAGTGGGAAAGAATGTTTGGAGTCTTTGCATGTGGGGGTAATATAATAAAAGGAAGCATTAAGAATAGGTGAGCATTAAGAAAATTGTATTATCCATAATGGGTTACGAACATACTATTGAGGTAACTTTCGAGTGTTGTGGTAAAAAGTATGAAGTAAGTGAGTATAAGATAAACCGACTGGGGTTAGCCATGAAGAAATGTAATTGTGAAAATATACAAATTTACATATGGTCTACTGTTTCTGAGGATTATGGATATCCAGCAGTCATAGCTGCTTATTGGCTGCATGAACCCATTGATTTAGAGGTCCCAATCTTAATCACTAACCCAATCTGTTTTATGGAATTTGATGAATACTATCTTAATGAGGATGATGGTGAACATGGTAATCAACTCAGCTGTGAAGTACCCAATAATGAATCAACCACATGGATTGTAGCATTGTCTGAAAATAAAAACGAATATAATTCTTGTGACGAGAACGATAGCATTATATGCAAATCTAAGGTATTATATAAAAAGGATGAAAAACGTTTAATT